ACGGCACCATCTTCCCACTGGGAAGCCAGGAGTCTGACAGAATCGGGAGTCAGGAGTGCGGCAGGGAGGGGGCCTGGGAATCGGGCACCTGGGTGCTGGCAGAGCCACACCTGGTGGGAAACCAGCCAGACTCACAGGATTGCCACCCGCCTTGCTGCCCAGTGGTCATCTCAGGATCTGCATGTTGACCAACAGCTTCTGAAGCTGTGTGTCCTGGGGAGGTTGCACAGCCTCTCTGTGAAATCATGACAGAGCCTAACCCAAGGACTGTGACATGAGCAGCCAGGCGTATAATTATGGCGACATTCTGTTGAGTATGCGGGCCAGGATCGTGACCTGTGGGTGAGGGCGCATGCCCCTGTGCTGGGCCAGTTTCAAGTGGACTCTTGCCCAGGGCCTTGGAGGCGGCACGGGCTCCCCCGTCTGACCCAAGTGCAGTGCGCCGGACTCCATTCTTAATAACATCTTTTATTGATTTTGCAAGAGAAAAAAATAGACATTTATTTTCCAGTTAATGCCTCCACAGCTCCTTTCCTCCCCCCTGCAATGCAGGGTGCACACGTCGGTTGTGAGACCCACCGGGTCCTGGCAGCCAGTGTGCAGCGTCTCCCGTGCCTGGGGCGGGATGGGGGTCCCTTCAGGGCAATGGCACTGTCTGGGTGACCAGCCCGGCTCCGGGGGCAGCTTTCGAGTGGGAGCGGGAGGCCGGGCGGGCTCGGCACATCTGGAGCCGCGGCCGGAGCTGGCGAGGATGGATCTTCTCCGGGGAAGCGGTTCCTACCTCCGCATCAGCCGAGCTCCCAACGCAAAGCGCATCCGCGTGGCCCCGCGCGCGGGCTGCGGAGCCCATAAAGCCCGGGCCGCGGTTGCGCAGGAACGTGCGGGAGAACCGCACCGCGCAGGCCGGGCCTGGCGCCAGGAAGGCAGCGGATTAATATGGGAACGAGAAATGACCCACCACGGGAACCAATTAGGTGCCCGATCTGAGCTGGTTACAGGGATGGGAACAGCCGCGGGGGCTCCGCTCGGCCCGGGGGCGCAGGCACCCGTCCAGGCGCGACCACCCGGAGGGAGGAGGGCGGGGCCTGGGCACCGGAGCCTCCCTGTCACTCCAGGGGCCGACCGCGGCACAGGCAGGGATGCGTAGGAAGAGGCCAGGGGTCAGAGGGCAGGGCCAGGGCAGGGAGCAGCCAGGCCAAGTTCAAGTTCAAGGGGGAGGTGCTGCGCCTGGCCCCAGGGTGGTGGTCCTCACTCCCCCAGGCCGTGTCCAGAGCCCTGGTGGACCCAGCTCCCCCTTTCCCTCAGCAGGACACACACCACGGCCAGTCCTGTCCCAGGCTCTGCAAGAGGCCAGAGGTCCTGCAGGCTCACCCCTGAAGGGCCTGGGGGACCCTGGATACACGAGGGGACGGTGGCAGTCCGGGCAGATCTTGAGGGGCCAACAACGGCACCCTGTAGGCTCCGCCAACTCCCAGTGGGGCAGGCATGCAGGGGAGGTGGGGCCACCACAGCTGGGCTGGCCTCCTCTGGGGCACCTATGCATGGAGGGGCTAGGGTTGAGGCCTGGCCTCCCCCCAACCCTGTCCTGGCCTAAGAAGCTGGACAGACGGACCAGACGGACGCCCCGCACACCGCACCCAGGCGTGAGGCAGGGTCAGCGGGTCCGAGTGGTCACAGGCCATGGTCAGCGGGTCCGAGTGGTCACGGGCCAGACTTGCTGGAGAGGCAAAGCAGGCATCCCTGACTCTCTGCAGCAGCCCGCGTTGCAGGGCACTGCCACCCTCTGCAGCGGCAGCCTGTCCCCAGTGGTTTCCAGGGCTGTCACCCCAGAGTCTCCTGTCCCTCTGTGCTATGTTCTCCAGCCTCGGGATCCTGGCTGGTGACACTGACGGTGGGGCTCTGCACGTCAGCACCGCCACCGCCTGGCTGGCTCCTTCTCACTTATGCAGGTTTTGGGGCGCAGAGCTGTGGAAGCAGAGCACAGAGGGGCGGTGTCCCCAGCTTTACACCTCGGGTGTCCCACACCCCGGGGAGGCCCCACCGCGGGGCTGCCCTCCAGGTCCCTGAGGCCTGGCCCCCGCCTGCAGCTCCAACAGGCCAAGTCCTCTGCGCCCCAGGGCAGGGGACCCTGTCCCCACAAGGCTTCCGCTGCCCTTGACCTCTCCCCTCTGCACAGGGCTGCAGGGTTAGGTCCCTGTCACCCTCCGGGTGCCGCAGGTGTGCAGTGATCGTGGGTGTGGGGTGCCAGCCCCTCCCTGGCGTGTTCCCGGGGGGACGCTCTGGGCAGACCGTGGCTGACCTGGGTCGGCCGCGCTCGGCTTCCTTCTGCAGCTGGTGACGGCCTGGTTGTCGTTTGTCATCTGGACGTCCTGGTCCTCTGCCTGGTTACTGTGTGGAGGAGGAGGCAGCAGGTCCCATGGGGCCCGGGGCCGAGTGTCCCTACCATCCATCCTCGTTAGGGCCGCAGGGAGAGAGGCGGGGGCCAGGGACACACCTGATGGCCGTGTGCTTCTCCTGGTGACAGATGTCCGTGTCCTCGGTGAAGAGGATGGTGTGGTAGGGCACCGTGGGCTCGCACGTTGGCAGGATGCCCCCGACCAGGTGGCTCACCATGGCCAGGACCCCGTTGTACACCAGCAGGTCGTCCACCAGGAGCTGGGCAGGGACGGGGGGATGAGGGACCCGCTCTCCCACACTGTCCCCACAGAGCCCCACTGAGGCTTCTCTGAAGACGGTGTCACTAGCCAGGGCCCCTGTGTGCCTGGACTGTGTGACTCCAGACCTTCACCCCCACAGGAGAGGCTGCAGGGGACTCGAAGGAGGGGACAGCACCCAGTAGAGAGCCCTGGACACAGTGGGGCTGGTGGGATCTCTGGCCCCTGTGCCCACTGTCCTGTCCCCGTGGGGCTCTGGGGAGACCCTGGCAAAAAGCCTGCTTTTCAGTGTCGGGTGACGACCCAGATCATCTCAGGGGGTGTGAAGGCCTGGCTGGTGGCCAGCGTCCCTGCCTCTGGGACCAGGCCCCATGTCTAAGGTGGCCATGGAGGGAGGCACATCAAGGGGCGACACATGATCACAGCCAGCAGCCTGATCCCCAGTGAGCGCCATCACCCCAAGCCCAGCTGGGGGGACTCACACCAAACTCCTTCACCCCGCGATGCGGCGTCTTGGCGTAGTTCCACAGCTTGATCATGGACACGGTGGTGGGCAGGTCAAAGATCACGTACACGCGGTTCACCTGGGGGAGCGTCCGGTGAGAGGTGCTCTGCTGGGCCGCTGCCCAGGCTATGGCTGGGCCTGGCGGTGCCCGAGGAGGCCCCTGCCCCCCAGAGGCCTGCAGTCCACCCGCCTCCTCCCCTTGCCCATCTTGAGTCAGGTCACGTGTGGCTGCGTTTGCAACAAACCGCTGAGCTGGCTCTTGCAGGGCCTCGTTCCTGGGCTGGTGGCCTGCATCTACATACGGGCAGAGCCTGGTGGCCCTCATCTATGTATGGGCAGAACCTCGGGCCTCCCCAGGTGGGCCCAGAAATGGTACAGGCTCCCTGGGCCCAGGACCCCTCTGTCCCTTCCCGAGTCACAGATGGAAGCCTGCAGGGCCCCCCAGGGCATGGCCACCCAGCAGGTGTCTCTGGAGCTCCCAGGCAGGGAGGGAGGGGCTGCTGGGTCAGTGGCAGGATGCAGCCAGGCGACCCCGGACCTTCCCCTGCCCACCCCAACAGCCACTCTCAAGATCACATAAGGAAGTCAGGGTCCCCGGCCGGCAGGGGCCAGCCTGCAGCACTCAGGGGAGGACGTGGGGCTGGCTGTGGGGGACAAAGGTCCACGGGGTCCAGCAGACACAGCAGGAGAGGTGGCCTGACACCAGGTGTGGCACCCACCTGCTGGCCACGTCCCACGTGCACCGGCAGGCGGGGGCTGAGGGGCTCTCGAGGGGCTGACCACTGGGCCCATTTGGGGTGGCTTTGGAGGACATCAGCATGGCACTGATGCTGCCACTCCAACCTGTGGCAATCTGAGAGGACAATGTCCCCCTGCCTCCCACCCAGTCATATGGGTGGAAAAGGGACAGTGGGCCAGGGACCCAAGGCTGCCCGAGACCCCGCCCCCTGTGCCCTGGGTGCTCCTGGCCCTGGGGAGGGGTGCGAACCCACGGCCCACCCCGGGCTCCCTCCCTCCACTATGACTGACAGGTGGAGAAGCCACCTCCAGGCGTCCTGTCAGGCCCGAGAGCTGGGAACAGTCCTGGCCAGAAGGCTGACCAGGCGGTTTGGGGACAGAGAGGACGGCTGTGGTCCAGAGGATCAAGTGCCCTGAGGGTCAGGGAGGCACAGGAGCACCTGGGGGGGGGGGCTGGGGAAGGGCAGAGGAGGGGCGGAGACCAGGACCAGCGGAGGCCGCACCCTCCGTCCTGCCCAGGGGCCCGATCCTCCTGGTGCCCCCTCTGCCAGCTCCCAGGCTTCCTGCTGTGTCCCCAGCCCGAGGACACCAAGCTCCCTCCTGCCAGACCCAAGCTGCGTGCGCGCTGACCCACCAGGCCGGGCAGGATGGGGGCCAGCCACATGTGCCGGCCGTCGCTGGTGTTGTTCACTTGGTCCACCAGCTTGTCCGGCGTCCGCACGTCCCCGCTCACGCCCTCCAGCGAGTTCACGCTGTCGGGGAAGGCCGCGATGTCTGAGGAGGTGGCTAAGCCGCTGTAACACGGGGCTGGGCCTGTGCTCGGGGTGACAGCTAAGTGACCCGGGGAGTGGCTGTGGGGAGGGACTGGGGCTGCCGGAAAGGGGGCCCGCAGGACTGCGGGGCCGGAGCAGCCCAGATGCAGCTGTTGGGACAGCGGGACTGGGCCATGGCGGGTTCTGCCTCGGCCTGTGAGGGCCGCTGGGGACGGTCCCCTGGCCACAGGGGCGGGATGGGGAGGCCTGGCCACCCCCTGACACTGTGGAGCTGCAGACCCGGCTTCCCTCCTGGGCTCTACCACCGACCAGGCAAGCCAGGGCAGGCGTGGACCCAGGCCTCCGGCACATGGCTCTGAGTTGGCCTGCGGGTGTCGGGGCCGTGTGCAGAGGCTGGTCCCACAGAGGCGGGCAGCTCAGTGGTCAGAGGCTGGCTCTAGAGCCAGGCTCACTGGCTGTGTGATCTGAGGCAAGTTACTCAGTCTCTCTGTGTCTCAGGGTGGGGACTGAGGAGAACTGGAAGGGTGCTGGGGACAAGGGCAGCAGACGGGGAGGTTCAGCGTCACCGCTGTGCTTGGCCCCGGGCCTGGCAGGGCCGGTTTCTCCAGAGCAGCCACAGACGGGGCTCTCATTTAGCCCCAGTGCGGGCGGTTCTCTGGGACAGGGCTGGGGTGGGGCTGCCTTTGGGAAGGATACTGCTCTCCGACAGGGGGATCCGCTCTCCGCGCTCGTCGTACAGCTCCAGCCCCGTGAGCCCGATGTAGTAGGGGTCGCCCCAGCTGGTCAGCAGCTGGAACTGGAAGATGACTGGGCATCTCACTCAGGAAAGCAGCCACGAGGCGGCAGGGTTCGGGGTGTGCGTCCGGGAGGGCGGGACGCCATCAGGGTCTGTGTGGCCTCTGTCCAGGGGCAGGCAGGGTGTGGAGGCTGTGTCCCCAGCTTGTCCCCTGGTGCTGAATGGCACCCCCACGCCTCTGGCCTCAGTCTCCCTGGTTGTGGGATGACGAGCACAGGGCACCTGTCCCCTCCTGTCCCTTTTGGGTGCGTGGGGTGAGGGGCCGTGGCTGGACAGTACGGGGCAGGACGCCCGGGGCAGGTGGCCTGCCACTGCTAATCTCGTGCACAGAGGGACGGACGTGGGACATCCAGCCCTCCTCAGCCTGCTTCCCGCTGGCTCCCCCACCCCAGGCACAGGGAGGGTGGCTCCCGGTGACAGACAACCCAGCCAGAGCAGCCCAGGAGGGCAGGGGCACCCATGGGCTCGGGGGCGGGCGGCCTGGCTCCGGCCCCGCTGTGCCCGGTTCCCCAGCTGGGCTCAGGCTGCTGTGGGGCCCAGTGCGTCCAGGCAGTGAGTTCGGCTCCCTCTGGCTGGGTTCCAAGGCCAGTCCAGGGTCCAGCCCCGGGTCACTTTCTGCTGCTTGAGCCCCTCCCAGCTGGGTCCCCAGCCTCCTGCCACCTCAGGGGCCCTGCAGCTAGTGTTGCTGTCCTGCCCCCTGCAGTGCCCGCCTGCCAGAGGGCGGGGAGTCCTGCCCGGGGGGCGAGGGGGAGGGGGAGGGGAGGGGAGGAGGAGGACGAGGACAAGGGCACGAGGGCACGAGAGCAGGATACAGCCGCAGGGCATCAGCGGGGCCTCGTAGTCCATGCTGGCGCGCTCCGCGGTCCTCGTGCTGAGCCTGGCAAACCAAACCGCACCCTGAGGAAGACCCCAGTGGCCAGCACCCCGGCCAGCCGCCGTCCAGGACGGTCCCGCGTGCCCTGCACTCCCACCTCCCAGGGGAGACCGTCCCGTATTCAAGGTGGCGTGCGGCTTGGCCAAGGGCAGGGCCACCCCAGCAGCTGCGCCCCTGGCTCCTTGGCTCAGTGGGCAGCAGGCCAGCACGAGGCCAGCGTGGGGCTGGCCAGGAGCCCTGCTCCAGGAGCGTCTCCTGACACAGAGTCCAAACGCCCCAGGAGCAGGCACCGTCGTCCTGGGTTGAGGACCCTGGAACTCAGAGGTGACGTGCTCAGGGCCACGCAGCTGGTGGGTGGCAGAGGCAGGAAGTGCCTGAGGTGTCCAGGGTCTCTGCCCACTCTTAGCCGCCCCTCTCCTGCCTCCCCTGGACAAGCAGAGGCCACCCTGTGTCGAGCACAGGGAGACGTCTGGGAGGGGACGTGGGCAGGACGGGCAGAGGGCAGGTCCCACCTCTGGGGTGTGGGCATGGCCCTCCCTCAAGGCTGGCAGGGCCCGGGCACCAGTACCAGGCCTGCGGCCGCTCGGCGCCCCCCCACCTCCCACCCACTGGCTCCTCTCTGCCCCCTGCAGGGCCGCCCTGCCCAGGCCTGGCCGCATCCCTTTCAAGGCATCGCTACCATGAAGTGACTGTCCCCAGCCACAGGCCCAAGCAACAGTGGGTGCTGAGGAGGGAACCGGGGACTCTGAGCCTGGCCGCGGGCGCTGGGCTCAGGGGCCAGGAGCAAACTGAACGTGGCCTTTACAGATGGCCTTGAGCTCTGCGCAGCTGAGATGGGCGACATCCCAGCGAGTTCACGAACCACGTGGCCCGTGTCCTCCTGAATCTTCCTAAACCCGAGCACAGAAGCCAGAGGACAGCCCCCGCACTGGCCGCAGGCATCTCGGACGGGCGGCCGCGGCCTCTTCCCAGCAGGACGCGCAGCGAGGCCCTTAAAGCCGTCAGCCCTGCAACCTGGAAACCCAGCGTCCCCAGACAGGGACGTCCCCAGACGGGCAGCGCAGCCCCAGGCTTCGGAGAGGCTCAGCCGAGCTTTAGAAAATGGCCCAGCGTCACGTGTGATCGTGTTTCAAGACCCCACAGGACGCGCTCCAGAGCAAGCGGGTGGACAGTGGTGGGTGTCCCCGGCCCTCACCTCCTGGCCGGCTGTGGCCGCGGCCGAGCCTGCAGGTGGTCCACGAAGAGGATTTCTTGAGCAAAATCGAAGTGGCAGTTGCCTGGCCCCTTCCGGAGGAGGAAGCCCTCGGGGGGTGACACACACAGGCCGTCCAGGGACACGTGGGCGATTTTGGCCTGGTGGACAGAGACAACCTGAAGCTGGGAGCCTGTGGGGACAGGTGCACGCTGGCGGCCAGCGGCTCTGGGCACAGGCAGCAGCTGGGCACGAACTTCCTCGACACCAGGCCCCAGCTGGGGCCCGCCCAATGTCCCTTGGCCCACCCTATGCCAGGACCTGGGCACTGGGGCGCTGGAGGACAGACGGGTGACACCCCTGCTGCTGCACCCAGTGACGTGCTCTCTGGTCCCCAAGTTTCAGAGGTACACGTGACTTGGCCAAGGTGCCATCCAGGGCACCTGCTGCGGTGGCCTGCACTGGCATGGGCACTGGTGGGGGACGGCCACCATGCAGTGGTGCCGGTGGCTGAGCCTCCCCAGGCTCGCTCCCCTCAGCTGCCAGGTGGGCACGGCGAGGAGTTCAGGGGTGTGACGTGCCATCAGGTGGCCTGGGCTGCCATCCCCACAGCCCTGGCCCCTCCCGGTCCCTCTCCAGCGCTGAGCTCATCTTCTGCAGGCTCTCGCTGCCTGGCAGTGTCCCTGGCTGTTTCTGGGTCCCTACTGATGGCAGAGACCCCAGCGGGCCCCACTTTACCTGCCTCGGGGCCTGTACGCAGTAGGTGCATACTAAGAGCTTGCTGAGGGTGTGGATTGGGCCAACACATCCCCTGGCTCTGGACCAGAACTCTCCAGCTAAATGCCCGGATCCGCCAGCCGCTCTCTGGTCCCCACTGGCAGGGTGGGAGGCGGCTGGGGCCAGGGGCCCACAGCCAGCGCCCGCTGCCTGACCCCGGAGTCTGGAAGCTGGTCCCCTCCCCCCCCAGGACTGGGGGTGCAGCTGCTGGAATCTCCTTTTGGGAGACGCAGAGAGGAGGGAGAAGGGGGGAGCCCTGCCTGGTCTCAGGGACAGTGCCCAGGCCCCTTGTCTGCGCCAGGCACTCCCAGCGGGTGACCTGCGTGTGCAGCAGAGGGCCTCCACGGCCGCCTGGGGCCTGCCTGGGTGTCCTGTCCTCTGCCTCCCTCAGGCCGATCCCCAGCCCGGCCTCGGAGCTCCAGGACCTGTGGGACCACCACACCCCTGGTCTGCTGGCTGGTCTCTGGGAGGGACCTGTCCTCTGGCTTGGGGCCAGCAGGACGGAGGCCTGCATCTCCTCCTGGGCAGGGTCACCGAGTGAATCCGGGAGCAGAACTGGGCCAAGCCCTGGGAAGCCCGGTGTCCACTCCCCAGGAAGCGCCGCCGACTCCCCTGGCCGCAGTGGCCGGTCCTCTCTGCCCTCCTCTGACTGACTGTTGTTCAGGGGGGAGGGAGGCAGAGCCGTGTGCCCCCCCCCCAGGAGCCCACGGCCGGCCTGCCACCCACAACTGGGGTGTCCCCTGGGGTCGGGGGGGACTAGAGTCATAGGGTCTGTCCCTCTGCAGCTGGGACCTGCCCCTCATGCCCACATGGCCCCGTGGCCACTTGTGCCAAGGCTGGGGGCCGACCTGGGGGCAGGGACTCGGGCCCAGTTTCCTGGGGAAGCCGGCAGAAGCTCACGTGGAGGGACCGTGATCTGCTCAGGGGGACCCAAAGACCCAAAGGTCAGCCTGAGGGAAAGGCCTTGTTGTTCTTGTTTTGGGGGATCGCGATGGACCCGAGGTGCTGACCCTGTTCTTGTATCTATCATAGAGACAGGGTTTGGCCGCGTTACTGAGGGTCTCGCCAAGTTGCTGAGGCGCCTTTGAACTCGGGGTCCTCCTGCCTCAGCCTCCTGAGCGCCTGGGCTCACGGGCGTGCGTCCCCAGGCCTGGCGGGAGCCTGTCTTCCGAGGCCAGCACATCTGGCTCTTCCAACGTGCTGAACGTGAGAGGCGCTACCCAGAAACGGGGCCGCGTGAGGGGTTTGTGCCTCCTGCCCAAGGAGCCCTTGCCCCAGAGGGCACAGCTGGCTCAGCACCAGCCGTGCCAGGAGGGCCAGGCTGCCACCCCAGCCTAGTGACCATGGCCCTGCAGGGTCCATGGGAGAAGGTGCGTGGCCTGGCACATGGTGGGGACCCAGATCTGGGGACCACAGGACTGAGGTCGAGTCCTGGCCTTGCCAAATGCAGTGTGGTAAGGGGACGTGCCCTGCCCAAGGCAGATGGCAGCCCCTTCCCTGTCCTCCAGCCGAGGGAAAGCAGGACACACAGCTGGTCAGGGCAGGGCCGAGGTTCAGCCCCAGGCCTCTCTGCACTGCTGTCTTTTGGGACCTGACAGCTTTGTGCCACGGGAGGGTGACTGTCCACCTGTTCAGTCACCTCGGGTCGGACGGCCTGTGGAAAGGGGCTCCTGTTGCACCTTCCTTGCCCCAACAGAGGCTCGTCTTAGAACCCTTGCGTTTTCACCCACAGCACGAGAACAGCGCAGAAGTCAGGCCCTGTGGGCTCCTACTCTGACTTGGACAGGGAGCCTCGCTGTGTGACCTGGGGCAAGAGACTGAACCTCTCTGAACCTCAGTTTAACACCCTGGGAGACAGCATTAACAGCTGTCCCAGAGCCTGGGGTAAGGATCTAACACGGGAAGCCCCAGCACAGGCCTGGTCCTGGGGCTCAGTGGACATCAGGGCCATAGCTGTTCACTGTGAATGGAGGCCGCTCGCCTCAGCACCAGAAGAAAGGAGGCCCGCTGTCCCCGCGGCTGCCCGGGGCTCCTGGCTGCAGCTGCTGTCTGCAGGGGGAAGCAGCAGCCGCGCTCTCCCTGGATGCCACCCCCAGCTCCATTTGGAAAGTTCTGGAGGATTTATGCTCCTCCCCCCGGTGGGGGGGCAGCCATTCATCAAGCGCCGTCCCCTGGCAGTGGGCTGAGCGCGGCCGGCTCCGGCTTACCCCTCGGTAGGTGTCCTCGGGAGATTTATTGTAGTTCCAGAACCGCAGGCCCGCGATGCTTTCGGCTCTGTCGAAGCGGATCGTGACCACGTGGTCCAGCCCCGGCGAGAAGGGGACCAGCCACATGTGCTCGTCCTCCATGGTGATGTTGACTCCGTCAATCAGCCTGCAGCAACGGGACGGGGGCCAGGTGGGCGGCCCAGCGGGGGGCTAAGCCCTCCTCTGCACCCTGCCTGGCCCTGGCCCAGCCGGACGGGCTCCTGGGTGGGGGAGGACGGCTGAGCCCACAGGGAGGCGCCACCGTCATCTATGGCCTTAGATGAGACACTTTTTAATATCTTCATAGTCACCGATTTGTTTATTTGTAAATGTGCTGAGGCTGGACCCCAGGGCCTCACACACGATGGGCAAGCGCTCTGTCCCTGAGCCCCAGCCCCAGCCCCAGCCCCAGAGGAAATTTCAAAAACAAAAAAAATGAGCAAAAGCAGCCCGTACCGTCCAGGGCACAGCAAAGCAATCACCACGGTTTAGAGCAACAAGGGAGCGAGCGTGTGTCGTCGCCAGGTCCCCGAGCAGCAGCCCCATTCCTGGGGGTGGTTGTTTTCTTAAGGAGGACAGGAGGCACCCTCCACCTTCCTGAGCCCCCAGCCCACCCGGGTCCCTGTGACCTTGGGGCTGCTGCACTGGGGACAGGCCCAGGCTGCCACTGTGTTTCCTGGATTTGAAAATAAACTTGATTTTTCTTTTACATTTTAAAGTTTGGGTCTGGAATGAATCTCGCGCTCTAAGTGTGCATCCAAGAGGTGATTTTTTTCCTCTAAAAGGCTGTTATTAAGTTGATGGATGGCGTGTCGTGCGACTGCTGGCATTTAGAGCTGAGGAGACGCAGCCACGACGCTGGGTGTGGGGGGCTGAGCTGACGGAGGACGGCCACCCCAGAACCTTCTACTTCCTTCCAAAAGCAATTATTTGCGTGTCCTAGAAATCGGAAACCACCGCCCAACTCTGAAGCACCAGATGACGGAGACGGGGGGCTTCCAGAGACCCTCGGGGGCTTAAATGAGTCCCCAGCTGTGACCCAGATCAGGCCTGGAAAGGGGCGAGGTTAATCTGGCAGCAGGAGCATCCTGGTGGCCCAGCTCTGGTCTCTAGGTACCGTTCTCCAGCACAGGGATGTGGCCAGGTGGGACCTAGGACCAGACCCACCCAAGAGGAGCCGGGGACATCCTGTCGCAGGAGGAAGCAGGGACGCTCTCAGGGGTGACGGTGTTAAAGCGTTCAGGTGGCGGGCGGGGGCTCAGCAGAAGGTCTGGCCTGGCACGAGCAAGGCCCTGGTCCCGCCCAGAACCACGAAAATGAGGCCATAAAAATACAAGTGAATTAATACGTGGGCTGGGGAGTCCTCGGGGTCCCAGAAGGGGACAACCTGACAATAGTGAGGACAGTGGACGGCTGAGACCCTCCACGGCCTGTTTACATGTCTGTGATGCTCAGAGCACCCAGTGCTTCAGAGGAAGTCTGCTGTTTTGAAACTTTTAGGGAAACGTGGGGAAGACTCCACCCAAGGTTTCCTCTCTGACTTGTGCCGAGTCACCAGGAGCTGGGGACCGCAGTCACTCCAGGAAACGAGAGAGAGAGAGAGAGAAGACACAAGGCAGAAGCCCAGTCTCCCCACCCCACAGACGAAGGGCCCAGGCGCTGAGTGAGACTGGCTGCCGGCCTTGGGGCAGCTGGATGGGCAGTCAGGGGGACAGTCAGGGGGACAGTCAGGCGGACGTCCCCACGGCACACACAGTAACACCGCTTGCCCGTCTTGCCCCTGTGGCCACCTGCACCCGACCGGCCTCCAGGACTAGTTAACAGTCTGCCAGAGACGCGTGGGACCCGGGAACGGGCTCAGGACCCCACGGAGAGGTAAGGTCCAGGCGCTGGCAGACAGGAAACCTGGCTCCTGCCCCCGGTGACTGCAGGAGAAGAGGACGAAGACAGAGGGACCTGGAGATGACAGGGAGCGGGGGAGACCAGCTGGATGAACGAGAGGGTCCGGGTGGGGACCACCGGGCAGGAGCCAGGCCCACAGGCCCAGGTGGCTGGGATCTGGAGGTCCGAGTGGCCCAGGGCCGTCAGCGCCAGCAGAGGACGGCCGGGAACAACGGCCACTCTACAGAGAAGCAAGCAGGAGCCACGATGACCCCACGCTCGCTGGCTCTGGCCAGGCCCGGGGTGCCGCCGTTCCCAGGGACAGTCTGCCGACAAGGAGCCCAGGCTGGCGGCCTCGCTCAGGGCCAGGGCTCGGAGCCTGATCCCCTGGGCCTGTGTCCAAGTCACGACGGCCCCTCAACGAGGCCGACTGACCGCTCGGTCTCTGCTTCTATCTGCAAAGGCAGCAGTGACAGTGACAGTCTGCGTCACCCTAAGTCAGGACGTGACTGGACGAAGGCCTGCGCCCCTCGGCACGTCCTGTGCTCCCCTGGGAAGCACCCAGACGGCGGCTCCCACTCAGTTACTGCAGCGTCACCGCTGTCCTTACTGAGAGGTGGCAGAGGGCACAGGGGCACCTCAAGTGTTCCTCACCTCCCCGCTGCTCCAGGCAGTGCCCGGTGCCGAGCAGGCGCTGGCCTGCGGCAAGTCCCCGTGGGGGGATGGGGCCTTTGAGGCTGGTCCCTCCTGGGCCTGCCCTGCCCTGGCCCATGCAGTCTGACGCGTGTGGGGCCAAGTGGGGCTGCGGCGGCCCGTGGCGTCTTCCCAGGCCCCAGTCACCACCTCCGGCCCCCGGGAGGTGGGGAGCCTGCGCCCCGGGCCTGGGGGTGCACTAAGCAGCTGCCTGAGACATGGACCCGGCAGGTCCGCAGGCAGCCCCGGCTCCCGTCCTGCCCACCCCTCCCAGCTGTGCGGCCCTGGGAGCGTCCCCTCCCTTTCTGAGCCCCACTTTTCCTGCAAGCACAGGACCCCAGAGGCAGGGTGGCTCTGGGGAGGTGACATGGGGACGCTAGGCGATGTCTGAAGTCTAACATGCAGAACAGGCTCCGGGACGGCTGCTGACCCAAGTGGGGGGCCCCTGGAGGCACTTACTTGTCCAGGGTGCGCGAGTCCTCCGTGTACTCAGGGAGGTCATTCAGGTCCCTGGGGGAGGCGGAGACCTGGCGCAGGAGGATGGGCAGAGCTTGGCCGTCCTTGCCCACCACCTCCAGGCCGGTGAGCCCCAGGTAGTGCGGGTCCCCCCAGGAGGCTGTGAAATTCAGCCGAAGGCCTGCAACAGGGAGAAGAGTGGCCATCAACGCCTGAGGCTCTGGGGGAGGGTCAAGGGTGGAGATGAGGCTCTGAGGAAGGGCCTCAGGTGGCCATTTTGAGCCAGATGGGCCCCGTCCTTTCCTTGGGCCCAGGAAAGGTGTGCGGCTGCCCATGCTGTTTGGTCCACCGGCTTTCCCCGTGGGGCTTCTTTGTGAGCCAGGGGCCTCCCGGTAGCCCATACTCCTAGTCCCCTCTTCCACCTCAGGGCCTTTGCACATGCTGCTCCTGGCCTTGGAACACACATGGCCCAGGTAACTTGGGCTCGCCCCTCAGGTTCCAGCCCACTTCCTTTTGCCATCTTGGGCCAAGCCAGGCCTTCCCCACTGGCCTGCCATACTGTGCGCTCCTCTTCCAAGTCCTGGTGGGCCCCTGGGGTCTCGAGATCACTTGGTACATATCCATCTGGCTGCCAGGGGTCTTTCTGGACCACAGGATCGTGTCCCAGAGAGGCAGTGACTTAGGGAAATTGACATTTTATGCAAATTGGCCACTCGAAGGATCCACGCGGCTTCGGGATAAAGGAAGTGACCTCTGGTGACACCGCTACCCTCTTGCCCTGTCCCACCCCAACTCCCATCAGAGACCGTTAGACGTGCCCTGGCCCTGGGGCGGCACAGCACAGGTGACTCACTGGCTTGCCCAGAAAGCTCCCGAGGAAGCTCTTGGTCACGCCCTGGTAGGGACCTGCTCAGAGGAGGGACTGGACGCCCGGGAGGACACGGCGCCCCGTGGCCAGGCTGTGCCCAGCCTCCCTCAGCCTGGCGTGCTCCCCAGGCCCTGCTGTTCCCCAGCACGGCTTCTGTGACTCAGCCCTCAGACTCTTCTGCCCCAAGGTGCCAAGGTCCCCTCATTACCTCGGGGCCACCTGCGGCCAGCCCGGCACCCGGCACGTCAGTTCTCACCCTGCTGTGGAGCGAGAGGCGACCATTCCTCTGCCCCCGTCCCCGCCCCTTTGCATGTGGCTCTGCAGAGCCTGCTGCCCGCTGCGTCCAGGCCGCGGGACCTGCTGGCCATCAGGCAGGACCGACAGGGGCTGGGGCACGGGCTCTCTGTCCCCAGGTCCTTGAGCCTGCCCTGTAGAAGGCCAGGCCAGCCCAGTCACTGTCTCGCTGGCCACCAGCTGGGCCCAGGGGAGTCAGCCCGGCCCACTCAGCTGCTGGTCCTGTGCTGGGTGGTCGGCTGAGGACGACGGCCCAGGAAGGCCACACAATCAGGAGCAAGTCAGACCAGACAGACGGTGGCTGTGTTAAGCGACTAGATTTCGGGTTTGTCTGTTCCACAGCAAAAGTTGACAGACTCTTCTGGGTCTATGTTCCAAGGTCACCTTCTGAGAGGCCTTTCCTGAACCATGTCACTCTCTACACCCTCACTCTGAGGGTCTTGGAGATAACACTGCCTGAAGCATAAGCTATGTTTACTCACGAGCTCATTCCCACTAGTCTCCCCAATTCAAACAGAGGCCCCCTGGGGCCAGGACTTGGTTTTGCTCATTGCTGTATCCGCAGAGCCTAGAACAGTGCCTGACAAATACATGCTCAATAAAGATTTATTAAAAAAAAAACCTCAAGATCGATTGAAAAGTAGGTATTCAGTATCTGTCTGCTAGCAAATGAGGCCACGTAAAACTCCCAGGTCTCACTAAATTCAGAGTGAAAAGTAAATAAATATTTATTGATCATCGACTATGAACCAGGTCCTGGTTTGGGCAGGGACTCACTCACACCAGCGAGATCGCAGAGGGGCTTTCACTCTGGCAAAGACAGTCAACACCTAACAAATAAACAAATGCACAGCTCCTCGGCTGATCGTGGCACAGAAAAAATAAAGGGCAGTGGGGTCACCAGGAGGGAGAGACGGTAGGGTGGTCAGGAAGGAGGCCTGGGGCTGACGCCTGGGTGTGGAGGAGGAGATCTGCTGTGTTTTTGCATTTCTGGAACATTCTAGGCTGAGAGGAGGACAAAGAGGACCCACAACTGGAAGCAGGCAGCCAGGGGCGAGCGGAGGAAGACGAGATCAAGCTGGGCAGGGGCCAGATCTCAGGAGGCAGCTTGGATGTCCCTGGCCTAGCTACGGGGCTCCTGGGGGGTCACACTTAAGGCAAGGGCGGGTGACGGGTCTGCCTGGCATCTTAGAAAGCTGTCCTGTGGGCCTGGCCGGGAGACCAGCGGGGAGGAGGCTGGTGCCGAGGACGTCCTGGGCTGGGTGGCCTCTGTGCGGCAGACCGAGCCCAGCACTCTCCAGGGCCTGGGGTGGAAGGGAGGGCAAGCAACCTCTGGTCCTCATGAAGAAGGCTGGGACAGAGAGGGGTGGCTCTGGACGAGAGGGACATCTGGGGAGGAACAGCGCCTCCCCCTGCGAGACCCCAGAGCCTGGCCGGCCTTCCTGCTGCGTCCTGCTGGCCAGGCGCCCACGGTGCGCTCCGCCCAGGCTGCTCTGGCCACCGCAGCTCTGCTTCTGAGCGCAGAGCCCCACTCCTCATCCATCTTCCTCGGTGTATCAATTGGTATTTATACAAATGGAAATTAATTTTGCTTTTCTCTCCCGTGTTTCAACCCTCTCTGCTGCTTTCCTATTTATCGCTGCTGATATTTGCCAAACTTCCAAAATTAGTGTCGTTTGCAAATTAGCAAGTCACACATTCCCTTTCAAACCATTAATAGGATTTGGCCCTATTTACCAACCCGATACGTCCCCTGGGTCCCTTTACTAAAGTGCGCGCCGTCTGCACAGACGGGCAAGGCCGGCTGAGGGTTCAGGCGCCGGCGGGGGCACCAGAGCCTCAGAGAGGAGTTCAGAGGTCCCGGGCCTCGTCGCAAATGCCCAGGTATGCGGCCAGCGGCCTTCCCGTGAGGACAGAGGCAGAGGAACCCCACTGTCCTGGCCACCAAGGTCTCTGAGCTCTGCCGGGCTCCGCCCACGGTACTGCTCTGCCATCTCCGGGAAAGGCCAGGAGCCGCGTTCAGAGACACCAGCAGAGGAAGGGGACAGTGGCTGCTCAGCCTGGCCAGCACCCCTGCCCTCCTTCCTCCTCCGCCTAGGCCACCCCCTGGTCTCCCCCCGGGAGCCCTGCAGAGCTCAGTCCCTGCTGCCTGGGCGGCTCGGGGCGGGGCTGTGGGCCGAGCCTGGCCAATCCCTGCCGTCGTCGCCCACCCCTCCCTCCCCATGGCGAGCCACGTGATTGGCTTATGGGTGGGCACGTGACCAGCTGGACCCAGAGGCTTAACTCTGGGAGGCTGTGGGCCGTTGGGAAGCAGCAGGCCCCTCGCGCCTGGGGTTGCTGGGTGGAAGGTGGCTAAGAGGCCAGCGCCCAGGAGTCCCCACGGGGACAGTCTGAACGTAGGACGGGGCAGGAAACAGGCCAAGAGCCAGAGGGCCACAGAGTCTTGATGGTACCATCCTTTGTCCTGATCCACTTCTCAGGAAGCTAGTGACCCCTAACCTTTTAGTTGCATAAACCACTAAATTCCCATTTTTGCTGAACTCAGCTTGAATTCAGTTTCTATTGTTGGTAAAAAGAAAAAAAAAAAAAGAATTGGGACCAATGCTGGGAGACCAAACTAAGAAATGACTGCTGTCTTGTGGGATTTCCCAGCTTCACAGGGGATGTTGACTTTGTGGAACCTCTGATGTGAGGTGGCCTGACAAAACTGTGAGGTAATGTGACAGTGCGGTGGGACATTCTGTGTGACCTTGAGTGGGTTACTCAACCTCTCTGTGCCTTGGTTGCCTGATCGAATCTGGAGAATGGGGATGGATAGGAAGAGCTGAGGGGCGGGCAGAGGGATGAAGCAGAAGCCCTGGCACAGTGCCTGGGAGAGATGGATGGGGTCTCAAGCCAGGCTCCTGCCTGATGTTAGGTTGGCTTTTAAAACTCGGGTCCATTACTCTAAAGTCCTTGAGAGTGGCTCAGCATTTTAGGGGCTGGAGACTTTGGCAACTGTCATCACAGTGGCCTGCACGTCTCCTGTTGGGTTCATTCCTTAGCAGTTTATCGTGGGATGATCCTGTCAATGACAGCGTCCAATGTTGCCTTCAAACCGTGGGACAGTAGTGCGTAAAAACCTGGCTGGTCCTGCGCTGTGACCTTTGACCCTGCTGTGTTAGTGTCTGGGAGGCTCCTGCGTGTTTCCTACAGGTCATCCTAACACCCGTCCTCTGCCAGGAGGTGACTTCCACCCTGGGGCGGGAGGGGGGCTTTCTCAGGACAGTGGGGGAGACCTCAGCAGGACATGGGGCTGCAGCCGGTGTTTAAGGACCCAGGGTGACACCGATGCCCCTCCCAGCCTGGGACTGAGGAGCAGGGAGGGCCAGGGCTGCCAGCCCCTGAGTCTGCAAGAGCCACGTCCCTCCCAAGGACAGCCCTATCCAAGGACTTGAGGGGCAGGATGTGGACACCTGGCCCCCAGTCACCTGGGTCAGCTCCAGCTCCGGAGCCCCCAAGGAGCAGCTCGGGCCTGCCCCCCACCCCGCCTGTCCGGCCCCGGCCTGCGCCAGCTGAGGTCCACGGGCAGCCCCCACGGCCTCCACCTGGGGGCACCCCTCTGGGGACCCCTGAGGACAGCTGGGCTGGCAGAGGGAAGGGCCCAGGCCAGGGCCAGGAGAGCCCTCCGGAGGGGCAGAGGGCGGAGGCCAGAGCCCGGGGCTGGCTGCATCCTGAGACGGGGGTGGGGGCGGGCCCAGTGTCACAGCTCCTGTCTTCAGGACATAAACTGGGAGCAAGTGACACGTAGAGGGGCCAAGGAAGAGCAGGCAGCCCGCAGCTTGCCCAGCGCCTGCTGACAGTGGGGAGGGGGGTCACAGCTGGCTGCGACCTCAGCCTGAAGACTCCGGGTGGCCGAGGCGCTGACGTGCACTGAGAGAGGGCCTGGCTGGAGGGGGACAGGGAGGGGATCTGGGAAGCCAGATGGGATTCGCTCAGAGGTCACCGGCTGGCCGCGGGTGGGCGGGCCGTTCGGCATGTTTTCTGCCACTCACGCGGTGTCCCCAAACGTCACAAAATGTGTCAACACTTAGCAACCTGGAGAGTCACCCAGGACCTGGATTTCCGGCCCTGAGGAGTGAGAGGACCCGGCCCTGGGCTGTTTCTGCTGTCCCTCCCGGAGCGGGGACAAGGGCTGCCAACCGCCAGCTCTGCAGCGTGGGGGGGAGGCTCAGCCACTGAACCGGGGCCCCAGGTCCCGCCTCACCCGAGCTGGGCGCCCACCGCAGCCTCGGGTCAGAGCCCCTGGCACACGGAGGGTCACGGCGAATGCAAACAGGCCTCTCAGAAGCCGCGGGGAGGGGACTGGGCCTGCTCTGAGCTGAGCCTGGGCTTCAGCCCTGACCCACTGGCCTGGCGTCTCCGCAGGTGCCACCTGCCTGAGGACCCCGGGGAGCCCTGTCCCAGGTGGCCGCCCCGCCTGCCCCGCAGGGTACTCACAGATCCCGTGGTAGATGCCGGGCTCTGGCGTGCTGACCTCGGCGACAGGGGTGACCGGGGGGCTGGGCGGCAGCTCTGGCCCGGGGACCTGCACGGCCGTCGGGGAGAAGCAGAGGGACGGGGTCAGTCTCAGTGGCCTCCACACAGCCCATGGCTTTTCCCAGAGCGCACTGCGCACCCTGGGCCCTGGGAGGCCGCCCTGTAAGCCGTGGTTAGCGGGACGGTGACCAGGACTGGTCCTGGCCAGCAGCAGGTGCCCCCTAGGTGTCCAGACCTGCTGAGCAGAGAGTGACCCACAGGCTCATCCCGAGGGTGGACGGAGGGGCAGGAAGGGGGAAGGACCCGCAGCTCAGGCCCCTGAAGGTCCAATCAGGCCACTGCGTGGCTCCCCGGGCCTCCGGGGGACCTGGGCCCCCTGTTTCCCTGGGAAAGTTGGGGCCAAAGGGCCTCCACTGCTTCATCATGGGGACAGCAGGTGCAGAGCAGGCAGAGTCACTGTCACCAGCAAGATGAGCCCTGCGGCCCTTGCCAGGGGGTCCACCCGCAGCCCCCGAGAGCCTGGAACTGTCTGGAAGCCCTCAAGGTCACTCCCAGCTGGAGGCCATGGCTCAAGGTCACCTCACGCTTTGGTGGCCCACGGAAAGGTTGAAATAGTTGCCTTTTTATCGCCCCCCCATGGTGCGGGGACTGAACCCAGGGCCTGGGCCGTGAGGCAGGCGCTCTGCCAACTGAGCTGTCCCCAGCCCTCAGAGCTCAGGGCTGCCATGTTTTTAAATTAAGAGACTTGACATAAAATTCAGATTTTTGCTTCTCTTGAAAAAAAATGAGAAGAAAGAGCAAATGTCACCTGGGAGGAGTGGCAGCTGCTTTCCTCAGAAGCCGGGAGGGGTCCCCAGTGCCAGCCCTCAGCGTGCAGCCCCCTCCCCACCCAGGCCTGCAGCCAGGCCTGGCCGTGACCTCCCTCCTTCCCCCGGTGGCATCTGCGTCCCCTCCTCCTCAACCAGGTCCCCTCCATGTTTGTAAGGACACCCTCAGAGGGCCAGAGGGGTCTCCTCTCCTGACTTGGCTGACCCTTGCTGTGAAGCTTATCTTTTATTTTTTAAAAAATTAGTTTATGGATGAAAAACACAAGGTTGGGAGTGACCCGCTCCAGCCCCAGCCCCGATTCCCTGTCACTGTGCGCTTCTGTCCCCAAGGAAGTCACTTCACCCGCCGGAGTCTCACTTCACCCATGGGACAGGAGCAGGTCTTCCCGAGGGTCCTCGTGGGTGGGCATCTGCTCACCGCACCCGCCTGGACCCCCACGGTGCCCCAGGTACCCCAGATGCCCCAGCTGGGCCACCCGCCACGGCAATGGTGAGGTCACTGCGAAAGGCCTTCCCTGTCCTTCCACCCAAACAGCCACGAGTGATCCAGACCCAGAGCCCAGCAGGAGTCCCCGCACTGCCGGCCTCTGAGTCACCCACACGACAGCCTGTTTCTCCTGCTTTGATTAAAACCTGGGGACTTGCTCCACTTCAGTTAAAGGAAATTAAAAAAATAGTAATTAAGGAATGAAAGATGACATAAAGGACAAAAAATGAAGTGGAAAATGGGGACTGTCCCAGCAGCCCCGGGCAGCTCCAGGACACCGTCCTGATTCTTGCCGCCGCACCTGGCCGTCTGCGCAGGAGCCGGCCTGGGTGAAGGGGCGCTCGTGGCCCTCGCCGTCGGCCGTGCTGGGCCTCCCCGGCGCCTCCTCCAGCTGCAGGCTGCCCGGGGCCTCCACGTCCACCTCGAACGTCTCGTCGGAGCAGAAGATGGCCTCCAGGATGTCGTCGTCAGTGGTGAATAAGATGGTGTCCCCAAAGTGCTCCGGGGCTACAGGCGTCATGGAAGACAGGGTCAGCTCGCCCACCCAGCCGGACCCCGAAGCCCTCGTCCCTTCTGCTCGGCCACCTCTGCCACCCCCGGCGTGTGTCGGCCCTGCGGCCGAGGGCTTCCAGAACGTTCCAACAGACACACTGTACCTCCCGTCAGCGTCCCCGAGGCCTTGGCGATCTCTCCGTCGAAGATGCACTGGGCGTCCAGCCACATCACCACGTCCTTCACGCCGCGGAAGGAGTGGATCCGGGATTTGTTGTAGTTCCAGACCCGGATCAGCGCCACGTGGCAGGGCTGGGCGAAGTCCACGGAGATGGCGTGGGGCTTGCCGGGCGTGAAGGGGGCCAGCCAGACGTGCATGTCATCCTGGGTCCGGTTCACGCCGTCGATGAGGTTGGCCACCACGCGGGGGTCCTTCCCGTAGGCCGGGAGGACGTTGATGTCGGGGGGCTCGGCCCTGATGCTCAGGACCTGCACGGGCTCGCCCTTGGCGCTGAAGATCTCGATCCCGTTGAGGCCCACGTAGTGTCTGTCCCCCCAGGTGGACTTGATGTCGATGACCAGGTGCTGTCCGTAAGGCAACACGGGGATCTTGAAGTCACCGTCGCCCTCGGTGTCGACAGAGCAGTCGCCCTGCCCCCTGGGGGGGCCCGGCTCCTCCTCCCTCCAGGGGGGCGGCTGGTCCCCGAGGCGGCCACTCCTCTGCTGCTGCAGGAACTCGTCCAGGACGTCGCCCTGGACGTCCAGGTTGGAGATGCGGCCGCGGTGGGAGCGGTCGAAGGCACCGAGGGAGTCCCAGGACGCGCGCAGAGAGAGGTCCTGCTCGCTGCGCCAGCGCGCCCGGGCGGCCCGCGTGTCTTCTGTAAGAGAGGACACGGGAGGGGGGACCTCAGAGACTGACTCAGCGTGGCCTCGGCGTGCAGGGACAGCTCAGGTGTCACCATCCTGCACTCTGTGCCACGGCGCCAACACAGAGCAAGGCCACCCGTGCACAGAACCTGGGACCGTCCGTCGGACGCTGGGTCTGCACAACACTGTCCTCCATCACCCGAGTCTAGAAGCCCCGCCCCCATACCTTGATTGGCGTGACTGTCACACCAATCAAGGGAAGGGTGTACTTGGGTCCTCAATGTCCTCTGAAGACCCGTGAATTGGAGGCTTGGTCCCCCGCCCACGGTGCTCGTGGGAGGTGGTGGAACCTCCTGGGGCGGGGTCTGTGGAGGAAGCCAGGTCACAGGGTCGCCCTGGAGAGTCCTTAGCACCCCAGCCCCTCCTTCCTCTGTCTGCTCCCTGCCACCAGGAGGTGACAGCTTCCTCCAGCAGGGGGGCCCAAGGCAGCAGTGCCAAGCAGACAGGAAAGCCTCCAGAACGTGAGCCCCGAGAAACCTTTCTTCCTTGTCCGTTGCTCACCTCAGGCATTCTGTCACAGTGACGGAGAGCTGGCACAGGGAGACTGGGCACGTTAGGAACTCTGCCAGAGCGGCCCCCTTGATGAGCTCTCAAGGCTGGGGGATGCTGCTGTCTATGGGTCTGAGTTGGCCCTCAGGGGCGGGGGATTGTATTTGAGGCTGCGTAGCCATGGGACTCCAACAGTGTCCCCAAAGCTCATAATGAACAATCAATGGGAAAAAGCTGGACAAGCAGTTAGACGTGACTGGGCAAGGGCAATGCGCTCCGGTGTTAGCAGTGAGCGCTTCTGGGGGTGAGTGGGAAGGACGTCTGTTTTCTTCTCTGCACCTTCATCTTCTAAGCCCTTGTATTACTTTTAGAAGCAGAAAACAATGCTGTTCTACAAAGTGGACAAAGTGGTGATGGTGGGCACTCCTGCAATCCCAAGGCTCAGGAGGCTGAGACAGGAAGGTCACGAGTTCGAGGCCAGCCTGGGCAACTCAGTGAGACTCTAAGCAACTCAGTGAGGCCCTGACTCTAAATAAAATATAAAAATGGCTGGGGTGGGGCTTGGTGGTTAAGCGCCCTGGGTTCAACCCCTGGTACCAAAAACTTAAAAAAGTAAATAAGCCGATAAGCACGTGTGTCACAAGGGCTCGGCTGCCACACGTGGCTATCGCCTGTGTCCTGAGCACGTCGAGGACACCGGCAGCCCTCTCAGGGCGTGCTGACAGATCAAGGCCCTGACACCTGCCTCAAGCAGTGGCCGGTCCTCAGAGCCCTGCAGCAGCCAACCACCATCTCCAGGTGTCACTCTGAGAAAACAGCATCCAGTGACACTGACGTGGCCTCTCCCCTTTCCTGTGCCCTGGGCCCCGGGCCCGGCCTCCGAGGGGTGCTGCGGTCAGTTGTCTCCTCCTTCTAGACTCAGGCAGCCCGTCTCACTGTGACACAGGACGAGGGCAGCGCCTGAGCCCTCCCTCCAGGCCTGGCCCACTGTCCCTCTGCCCCCGGCCACCTGGTCCTCTTTGCTGCTGTTTGGCCAGCCCCAGCAGCCTCCCCTTTCTTCTGGAAACAACTTCTGATTGTCCTTTGGAGAGTCCCCCACCTTCAGGCCACCCAGACTGAGTGGATCCTGACCGCATCCCCTTTCCAGCAGAACTCAAAGATGGGCTGTCTTTGAACTGGCCACAGGAGGCTGGTGGGGGAGGAGTTGCCAGGGACCATTTTGTTACATGGCAGAGAACCTGCCTGAGGAGGGAATGACACAGGGAGCATGAGCTGAGGAGTGGGGAGGAGGACAGGATGACAGCTGAGCTCCTGGATCAAGCCGTGCCTGAAGCCATGCCTCTGGCAGCCTTCTGTCCTTTGTATCAATGGGAACCCACTGTTCCCAGAACTCACAGCCTTCTCCAGGGGACTATGACTCCGGGCCTTTCCGCAGTCTTCGTCTCATGCCTAATACCCTAGGCAAACCTCTTTCGTCTGACATTCCCTCCTCCACTGTAGAGACACACCACTCTCTAGCTGCCAGCTCCTCCGTCACACCAGGGCCACCTGCCACATCCTACTGGGAGTGTCCCCAGGCCAGGTCCCAGCTCCCTGGTCCTCTCCTGGTGCAGCCTCCTGTCCCAGCCCCTGGGCCCACAGAGGCGCAGCTCTACCCCATACCTCCAGGTCCGGCTCCCTCCTCCGCCAACGTCGTCCAGCTCTGGTGACCGCTCGGCAGGCCCAGCCCTGTCCACACTGTGTCTTCAGTTTCCACGGAGCTGCCATCCACCCCTCTAATGGGCACCGTGTGTCCTACGCCGAGAAGGAAGACGAGCTACCCTCAGTGCCCACAGGTTGGACTGTGCCCAGCAGGACCCGCCAGCCCCGTCCCTCCCAGTCCCCTGCGGCCAGGCCGCCCTCTGCCCAGCGAGTCTCCTCCTGCCTCCGGCCCTTGCTGTGCCCTCTGCCAGGACTGCCCTTCCCCCAGAGCCCTGGCTGCCCTTCCCGTCCCCTCCTGGGACAGGTCCTCTCTGTGGCTCCCCCTTGCTCCAGGGATGCACTGGGCTTAGCTCAGCCCCAGTGCCCGGAAGAGCCTGGGAGGTGGCCGCCTGTCCCTGCCCCCGTCCCCAGAGCAGGCCTGGAGGCCGAGGGTGCCCTCCTCTGCCGCCCCCCAGCTCCCGCCTCCTCCCCTCCCTCATCTGCCGGGGGAGAGCCTGGGCGGAGGCCTGTCCCCTCCAGCAGCGAGGCTGGACATCTGTAGGAGTCCGTGTGGACCGTGGGGACTCGGCTTCAAGTGACCCGTCTCCGTGACCGGGAGGAACGGCCTGGCTGGCTGCGAGCACACCAGGGAGACAGCGCCCGAGGGCACTGGGTCCAAGTGACGCAGAGACCCTGCTCACAGCCCGTCCCCCACCCACGGGGACCCTGCTCACAGCCCGTCCCCCACCCACGGGGACCCTGCTCACAGCCCGTCCCCCACCCTCGTCCTGAGTCGCACATGCTGGTACAGAAGCAGAGGAGTGGGGACTCTCTCCTGGGCCACTGGGAGACGCCAGCCCCCAGCCCCCGCCCCAGGCCGTGTGTCCCTCCGCCTGCAGGGACACAGGTTGGGAGGGACGTCTGACAGGAGCTGCCCAGCTCAGCACTTGGGTGGATGAGGGTCGAGGGCAGCACGAGACGCTCGCTCACTGCCACTCACACACACCTGATGGCCACCCAGACAGGGAATGGAGACGCACCAGGGACATCCCAGACGGCCACGTCCACGCCAGCCAGTGGTGCCTCAGCCCCTGCTGACCCGACAGGAGTGGACGCCTGACCCCGAGCCTCTGGGGTTGCTGCTGGAACCAGAGCTGGGACATGGTCACTGAGAGCCGTGAGGCCACTGGTGACAGAGCAGGGAGCCGGTCTCGGGAAGGGGAGGACACGGGCCACAGAGAGGCCGAGCGGCCAGTGGCCCTGGGAGCACAGGGAGCTGGGGCCTAGGTTCCTGCCACCTTCCTGGTCCCAGTTCCCAGGGGTGGCCTTCCTGCCCTGGGGTGAGGTGCTCTTTGAACGTCCCCCAATAGCACCCCGCCCTGCTCAAGCTGGGTGGACGGACGTGTCACCTGCAGCCATCTGGCCTGGCGAGGGTGCTCCTCCGAGGCCGATGTCGTCACATTAAGGAGCTCTGGGGACTGGCCTGGGGACGCGGCCTCTCTGGCCTCCCTCACGGAGGCCGCACTGTTGCAGTCCTGGGGGGCTCAGGCAGCCCAGCGCCGTGGGGGGCTCGGGCAGCGCGTCTCCTGAGGGCGCGTGGGTCTGCTCTGGGTCGCGGGGCAACCCTCCAACACGAGCATCTTAACAAGCACCAAGTCCCACGGGCTCAACGCTCACGTGTCACCGAGCCAAGCAGCGAGGGCCCGGGGAGATGGGGTCTCCCGCGCTGGTGGGGTTACAGGATCGCTTCTCCTCGGGACTCGTGGGGCCCGTGGTCTGTCTGCCAGGAAGGCTCAGAGCTGCCTGGCTCTCCTGGGGCGGGGGCCAACGGTGGCTGTGGCAACAGGCCACGGGAGTCAGCGGTTCCGAGTGTGGACGCCAGGGCCACTCCACCTGGGGTCAGCAGCTGTGACCCAGGAACACACCTTAAACCTCACACTTAAAAGTGGGGCTCACGTGGGGCTTCAGGGTCACCCGGGAAGGTGCTTGGGCCAGAGGCTGGCAGCGAAGAGGCCATGGATCCAGCCCTCCCTGCTCCGCCCCCACACTGTCCCTCCCTCACTGCATGAGCCGGGGACCTGCCTCGGTTTCTCCCTCTTTTTCGATGCTGGGAATTTAACTCTGGGTTGCTCTACCCCGAGCCACGTCCCCAGCCCTTTTTATTTTGAGACAGGGTCTCACTAAGTCGCTTAGGGCCTTGCTAACTTGCTGAGGCTGGCCTTGAACTTGAGATCCTCCTGCCCCAGCCTCCAGAGCTGCTGAAGTTACAGGCGTGGGCACCAAGCCCGGCTCAAAGAGCTCCCGATTCTTCCCTTCCACTCGGCTCCCGACCCCCAGGCTCGCAGGGGGGCAGGGAGGTCTGAGGGACCAGAGAGGGACCACAGGGGCAGCTCCGCTCAGGCAGGCGCTCAGAGCCCAGGGACTTGCTCTGGTGTCTGGAGTGACGGCTCAGGGCCACTAAACACTGATGCAGGGGATGCTGATGTGACCCAGAGAGCGACGGGCCACCCAGAGGCAGAATCAGAGCAGGCAGGTGGCTGAGCATGCGGGGAGGGGCGAGCGCAGCTGCTGCTGTCTGCGGGGTGCCCCGTGTGCCAAGCCCTGGATCCCCCGGAATGCGTGTGGGTACGGCCGAGCGTCCTCTAAAGACGGGAAACGGAGACTGCCCAGGATGTGGGTGGCGGGTACAGGAGCTGGGGGACACATGCCCCTGCAGCCTGACTCCGCGTGCCCCCACCTGGTGCAGGGAAGCACCTGGGGTGAGCGCGATGTGGCAGGTGGGACGCTCGGTGGATGGGAAGGACGCACGAGCGTATCCAAGCCTGGCTGCCGCTGGCGTGGCCCTGTGGCCGGCCCCGTGGCCCTGCTTTGAGGCCACCCATCATCCCACTTGCTTCTTGCAGCACTGGGGGGGTTCAGCCCATTTTACAGATGGAGACACGGAGGCTCCGGGGCGGAGTGCTGGCCGGGCCAGGTGGCTGCGCAACGCTGAGAGCCCCAGGACGGTGTGCGGCAGAGCCCAGCCGCTTCCCGTGAGCCCGGCCAACGCATGGCGCTTTCCTGGGACACACAGTGGCTTAGGGACACTCTCCGTCAGTCACCAGTGTGGGAAGTACGCCTCCTCCTCAGCCCCGCTTCTCGAGAAAAGGAGAGGGCCAGCAGCGCCCTGTGGGGCCTCCCGGGCGGGCCACCGCAGTCCCTGCCACTCCCTGAGGTCCCTCCCAGGCCCAGGCCAGCCTCGACTGCGAGCAGCGCACGGGGGTACTGTCCAGGGCCAGGTGAAGGAGCCAGAGGCCAGTATGTCCAAAGGTGGAACTAACCCAGGCGATGCTGGAGAACAAGGCCAAGGGACGCGTCTTGGGGACAATGACACCTATGTGTATGTCTTCAACAGAGCGCCCGCCCACTTCTCTCACTGGCACCGCCTCTCTGGACCCTGAGGCAGTGGAACTGCGGCCACCGGTGGCCACCAATCCCCTCATTTTGCAGATAGAGAAACTGAGGTCCAGGGAGCTAAGTGGCTTCTGCCACGAGAGGTGCAGGACGGTGGCACCGAGCTGGACGGCCCCAGGGCTTACCTCGGCTGGCTGCCTGGTCGTCCCCGTGCCCACTGCCGGGGGCCTCCTTCCTCGGGCCCCTCCGCCCACTGGCAGGGCGCCCCCTGGTGGGGGGCTGGCCAAACAAGTCCAGGTCGTCACTGGAGACTTTGGGTGACTCCCTCTGGGGCCTCTCCCTGGCGATGGCAGTCCCGCTGGTCGCCTGCCCTTGGTCGCACTGGGGGCCTTTGTCCTTGGCCACGGGCTCTCCAGGGGTCTCCCCAGTGGTGTCCTCGGATGGGGGACGGCCTTCCTGGCCCAGCGGCTCCCCAGGGCCAAGCCACAGGGGCCGGGGCTTCCCCGCTGCCTTCTGCCCGGCCTCGCCCACGGGAGAGGGCCGCAGCCAGCAGGGCGTCCTCCCCGGAGGCTCAGAGGACCCCCTGCCCGTGAGGCCTCCCAGCTGCTGGGGTGGCGGGGGCTCCCTGTCCAGAGGGGGCGGGCAGGGAGGGGCGCTGGGCACGCGGCCCGTGGGGGCAGGCGCTGCCAACACCCTCAGATCCTCCTCCGACCTGGACAGGTCACCTCTGGTGCCACCAGGAGGACTCGCCCTTCCACCAGATGGATTTCCTCGTGGGGAAAACTTGACGTCCATCAAGGCCTCTGCGGGCTGTGAGCCGGTGGGGCTGGGCTCCTTGTCCCCGTCCCTGCCGGCCACCTGGGGGGCATCTCTGCCTCCGTCACAGCGAGTGGCGTCCAGGGCGCCCTCGCTCCTCTCGGGCTCCAGGTCCACGGGGAAGGTGTGACCAGCCGGCGCCGCCCCGTCTCCTTTCTGCAACGCGCCCTCGAAGATGAGGCTCTCGTTGACATAAAGCTTCAGGTTCCTGACACCAACGTCGAGGTCCTGGAAACACAAGGTTCGACAAGGTGAGGACGCGCCCCTTCACGGGTCAGGGAAAGGAAATCGTGGGCTGGTGAGCGGGACTTGGCGGGCCTTCAGCCGGGTGTCACCCAAGGCCCGGCCTCATCTCTGTGCAGAGTGCTACGGACTCTGTGAATCAAGGGACATCCCTAAAGCCACGGCCGACACTGTCTTTGTCATCGTCACCTCCTGCGGGGACATCTGTAACAGGCTACTAACTGGCCTCCCTGCTCCCCGTCTCTCGCTGCTCCAGCCTGACTTCACGTTGCCACCAGAGCTGACTTTCCACAGTCGCCCGCTCGGCCAGCCCGTCACAGTTTCTTCACCGCCTCTGAGGGGTCCTTGCGCAGGCTTCCTGAGCCCTGGGGCCACCGCCCGTGCAGGACACAGCGCCTGGGCTCCACAGCAGCTCACTGGGTGTCTTGCGAGCAGCACCCGAGACAGGGCCTAATGCACATTTGGTGGATGATCCCAAGGGAAGGGGACCCCCAGGAGTGTCTGAGCTGGTCACTGCTGTGGGCGGCTGGGCCCCTTCCTACTGGGGCTCTCCAAGGGACGCGCCTCAGCCATGTCCCTCCTAAGGCTGGGGTTGGGGCACTCACACGGCTTGAAGTCTGTGCCTCCCCAGGGCACAGTGCTGTCACTGCACGGGCAAATGTCCCACTCAGGGGAGGGACATTGGGGATGCGCCCTGGGCTTGGTCACGGTTTCCAGGGTCTCTGTCCTAGCAAGTTTCCAGATGATTCCTTTGCACAGGGAAGGAGGGAACGTGGGCTGATGGGATGATCCCGGCCACTCAGCTGGCACTGACCCTCACTGAAGGGCCCGCCCAGCTTCCTGGGCTCCTTCTCCTCCTGTCCCCACCTCCCTGGCTCCTGCTGCGCCTGCCTCAGGGTGTCGTGGGACCGAGTGTCCAGCACAGCAGGCGGACGCGTTACAGGAACCACGTGAGGAGTCTCCATGCGCAGGATAAGGGACATGCCTGTCACCCACGGCCCCCTCCTGCCCTCCGCACGCCTCCCCCTGTACTGGGCAACCACCTGTCGTCCTGCCACCCTGGTCGGTGCCCTGCGTTGTCCAGAGTGTTATATAAAAGGAATGGGGCGGCACGGACCCCTCTTGCCTGACTCCTTTCATGCCACATTGTCACTCCATCCAAGTCAAGTGAGATCAACACCTCCCTGGCCCCTGGCCCCCTGGGTCTCTAGGAGGCGTCTCAGCAGGACCCAGACCGGACCGTCACCTGGTAACAGCTCCCCACTCAGCCTCTCCAGAGACCCCGGTCCCCTCCGCCTCTTGCTCACGTCCAGCTGTCAGCGAGCCCTGGCTCTCTCCAAACTGCCCCGAATCTGACCTCTTCCGCAAGATGCGGCTGCCCCAGCGCAGGCCACCGTCATCTCTCCTGGAGACACTGCCATCGCCTCCTAATTGGTCTCTCTGCTTCCACTCAGCACTGTCACCCGCCTGCCCCCGTGCACGCCCCGCTCCCTCCAGAGCAGCCCAGTCCTTCCAACAGCCTCCTCCCATCACGGCCACTCCCGCTGGGAACTGCCTCCGCCCAAACCCAAGGCCCCAAACCAGAGCCCCGTGTGTGACCTGGCCTCGGAGACCTCTGGCCATCTGGCTCAGCCACTCCCCACCCTGGTCGCTCCTGCAGGCCCCTAACTGCCCCAGGCTCTGTCTTGGGGAATTTCCTGGCCACCTCCGGGCTCCCCTGTCCCTCCCTGTCCCTCCTCAATTTCCTTTCTGTCCCTGAAATGGCCTCGCTCGCTCCCTCCTCCCTGCTCCAAGTGAAGGCCCAGGACAGCAGAGGGCCTGCCCATCATGTCCCGGGCCTGGTGCATAGTAGGCCCTCGGCAGCGACTTTGGGGTCGTGAGTGACTGAACAGGGCTCTTCTGCAGAGGCGCATCAGGAGGGTGGCCGCTGCTGGCTGCACCCCAGGGCGTGCCCACCTTGCTTTGGCTCCTGGTCCCCTGGGCCTGGGATCTGGGACCCCACGATGCCCGCTCTGCCAGGGTGAGCAGCTCTGACTGAGCCTAGATCCCGAGGTGAGGTCCCCAGAGTGACAGGAGCGAGCGCTGGAGCCCGCCTCGGCCACGGGACCAGGCGTCAATCATCCAATCGCGGGTGGCAGCTGCTATTTGCCACCTGTCAGAAAAGTGGGCTCTCCCGCGGGTCCCTAGGGAGGCACCTTCTGTGGGCGGAGGCGCAGGGCCGCGCACCCGAGGGTGGTCAGGAGGCTCCTGGTGAAGGACAGCGCGGGCAGCTCTCAACGACTAGTTCTGCAAAATCGCCACCTGGAAACCTCTGGCGAGACACGCACTCATCTCAGGAGGCGGCGGGGTGGCCTTTCTGTCCAGTGCAGGCACCAGGTGGGCCTCCCGGCTTTCCTTACGGGATGTCTGCTACCAAGACGCGTCACCTCCCTTCCATGGGCAGTCAGGGGCCCACCTGACCTCCAGCCGTCTGCTGCCCACGCGGTCCTTGGAACAGCTTTGCAAGGTGGGCTTCAGGACACCAACGTCTCACGGCCAGCTGTGGGAGGCCACTCTGGCTGACGTGCCCGAGGTGCTGAGTGCCACCTCCCTTTGGGTCAAGGCAACGTGATCTTGGCTTGTGCCAACCTGGCCTGGGGTGCAGTCACCTGCAGAGTGGAACTCTGAGCCCCACGTTGAAAATCAAGTCCCCGTGGACCTTCTCCCTCTAGAGGGTCACCGAGTACAGTGAGGTGGACGTGGGTGTCCACCTCTAAAGGGACATCCTTCCTGATGTCACCTCTAGGGACCTGCGTGGATTTATGCCAGGACTCATGTAGCTCCAGCCGAGGGGCTCCCGCCCCTCACACGACCTCTGCACACCTTCGCGGGCTCTTCCCGTCACCTCCAGGTTGACCATGACACCCGACACCCTGTGAATGCTCTGGGAATAACTGTGACACTGTACGAATGGAATTCCTCCTGGACCTTCTCCATCCACGGGAGGGTGAGTTCCAGATGTGGGACCTGCAGGAAGGGAAGGCCACCGTCTTTTGTAGATGTCCACGTGGCCACCTCCAGGGCTGTGCCAGGAAGCCGTATGGGACAGCACCTGCGGGGGCGGGTCTTGCAGGTCACGCCTTGGCCTCTTCTCAGTGACGCTCTGGGCCAGCCGTGTCTTTGGGGTGGATCTGGGGGACATCTCTCATTCTCAAGAACCAGCCTGTGTCCTCCCTGGTGTCACCAGGCTCCAGCTGCAGGCTCGGTCCTCCTTGCCCTAATGGTCAAGAACCCAGGGGCCCAACCTCGCCTCGCCTTCGGGGCCTTGTGTGCCCGCGCCCTCTGCTGTCCCAGTGCACTCGCACCTTCTGATGTGCCTGGAGGCCCCTGAATGAAGTTCTGAAGGACACTCTGGAGCTCCGCGGCTGGCACGTGGCTCACGGGCGCCCTTTCCCACGCCCCGGACGGCCTTACCCTCCTTCAGCCTCACAAGAACCGTGCTGGGACGACACTGTTTTAATACCGCGACACACGTGTCGTCTCCATCTCAGTGACTTCACGAGCTCCCAGGCCCCTCCTGCCCTGGCCCGGGTGCGACGCGGCTCGCTTCCCAGAACAGACCAGCTGCTCAGCCTGATGGACGCCCGCGGTTCCACCAGGACAAGACCCAAAGCTGAGCCCTGGGCTGTGACACTCAAGGCACTTTCCCTGGGGACGACATCTGCCTTCAGTGCTGCCAGCCCAGCTGCTTTGGGGCAGTGCCGTGGCTAAGCCTCAGTCCCGCGTGCAGGGTGCCCGTCACGCACGTCCAGCCCGGGCCCATGCTGAAGGCGCCCCAGGCCTGGCCCATGAGACACCCCCACGCCTGGCCCACGACATCCAACACCCAGAACATGGGCTGCCCCCCCACGCTCTGCCCTGAAGCTGGCTCCAGACCAGAGGCTGGGCCTCGGATCCCCTCCTCGGCCCACCTGACCCTGGGTTACGGGGGTGCGGAGGGCTCGGGAGGGCGCCTGTCCCGTCACCAGCCACACTGGGACTGGCTCAAGGGCAGATCCTCCCGGGAGCCCCTGGCCCGCCCTGCCCCCACCTCCCTGACCCAGGTGGAGGGTCTTCCTGCGGAGCACAGAGCTTGGTGGGCAGCCTGGGTCCCGGTGCCCACTGCCTGAGCCACAGGAGCAGCCTGTCCCCAGGGCAGGAGGGCTTTGGGGACAGGCCGGGGCCGATGCCTGTCCAGTGAGCCCAGCACTGGGGCTGAACCCGCCCCCACTGCAGCTCGGTTCTTCTGGGAGGAGGACTCAGCGGTCTCTCTGTGTCACCTGGGAGGAAGTCCAAGGCAAACTGTCCTTCATGACATGGACACTTTGTTTTTTTGAAAGGGGACAAAATGAGGGGACACTGTGACACTCAATAAGCACTGACATGCCAGGCTCCGGGCGGATCATTCTGGACCCTGCCCAACATTATGGACCCCAAGGATGATGTACATGGACGGGATCTGACAGACGAGGTCACACGCTGGTGGCCCTGTGGCTGACACTTGCCCGTGTGGCCCTCAGCATTTACTAACTGCAGAATGAGCCAAGGGTCCGCGAAACGGGGACTTTCCACCCACTCTGCCTCGCTGGGAAACCTGGGCCACCTGCCAGCAGGGGCCAGAGCTGGAGTGCCCAGCCACCGCTGCCCTCAGCCTGGCACAGCGCTCGCTCTCTCAAGGGGCCCTGTGGTGGGCGCCACCTGCCGGTCATCGTGTGGCCACCAGCAGGTGTTCTGTGTTCTGGGCCTCGGTGTCCCCATCTGTGGAATGGAGCTGGTGGCTGCAGCCCCTTCTGACAGGATCTTTGTGCAGAACCAACAGGCTGGCACAGGCAGAGTGCCCGAATGCCACCTGCACACACACAGGCGCAGGAGACGAGCGGCCGTCACGTCCTGCCCCAGGCCGCTGCCTGGCTGTGCGCACCTGCTGGCTGTGGGGCCGGCGTGGCCCAGAGCAGCACCCGCCCTCC